ACTGCCTATCGGGGGGAATCAGTGCGTTGGCTGCCTGCGGTGGCCGGACGCGCGCCCATGAGACGATTCGTTCAACAGCCACTTCCTTTTTCTACGTCAACCCGGTTTGTAAACAGTCTCGTGATTAAGTTTTCTGAATATACGCGCCTATATACACGCGCGCGTTCCGTGTCCGTGAAACATTGTGCAAACGAGAGCCGGCTCGGATGTATTCGGATCTTGATTTATCGAGGCTTATACTTATACTTGAATTTGTTCCGAGAACCGATTAACCGTTCCCGGATCAAATTTTATCGCGTGGAAAATAATTTTATTGAAAAAAATATATATATATATAAACAATATTGCGTTGTTACGCAATATCCAGTATGGTGGATGGAAAGGTTAAGGCCGAGGTAATTTATCGAAACTTGTGCTACTTGGATTTGTTTCTATAGATCGTATTGCGCGTTTCGAACAAATATTCGATCGATTCACGAATTCATTTCCAAGAGAAAAAATTAAACGCGAGGAAGAATGGAAGAATGGAAGGGATTAAGCTTTTACCAGGAATTTCCCACTCTATTCCACTCGATTCGTTTCTATTAACGTGGAATTCTTTGGTTATCTGGTAACGGGATAACCGGGAGAGAACGTTCACATTTTAACCGCCTTCACCCTTTTTTCTCCCCCCTTGCTCACCGTGGAATCGGGTGAGATTCGTGACTCGACATCCTACTCTGCGATTATCAGGATCGAAACCGGTAGGATTGGACGGGAGTGCACGATTTTCGAACTCTCCGTTTCCTCATCGTTTCGAGGATCGAATCGGTATTTCAACGGTACGACGTCCATGTTTTCACGCTATAAATATATATATATATATATTTTCATTACTATATCATCTCAAAGATCACACTATCCTCGTAGGATCGTTTTTTAATCGCGTTGGACGGATGCAACGAGAGTCGCGGCATCGTCAACGATTTAATAATCCCTCCCGTCCCACGCGAATATCGTGGACTGCTTAATCAACCGCCTGCGTATCGGCTGACTTTGATCTTCATCCATAGATGTCGGTTAATGTATTCGATTATTGAAGACCGGCCCCAGATATTGCTGTAGGCGTCCCATCCGACTGGTTCTCGCCGATTAGAGCGGAATGCAGAATAAGCGTGCATTGTTAATCGATTCTCCGTGCAGAGATCTTTGAGTGCCATGTTGAAATTGCATCGAGAAAATTGTATCGAGATTAATTTCGCTACTTTTCCTCGTAAAACCGGTATATTTCTTCCTTCCACTGCATTCGACCCGATTCGAGATGATCAACGCCACGGATTTATATCCGGTTCGAAAGACTTCTTCTTATGGGAAACGTATCGAATATGGGTTCCACATCGTAACGTTCGTAGTTACGAGATCTTACACGCGAGNATCCATTGACGACAATGGAGAAGAAGAAATTCGATTCGATCGAATACATACCTGTTACAATTCA